ATCCAGGTTCTGCTGTTGAAGTTATGGCAACAAAACAACTCAGGATGGTATGTAAACTGCCCTAGGAGGGTATGTCAGTATAGCAGTAATAGCAGACCTTTTCTAGTATAGGCAAGGTCCAGTATTGCAAAACTGCATAGCTTCTGATGGTACCGTTTAATTTTTAAAAACTTGAGTTGCCCCAATTTTAATTTCCAAATATGGGTTGCTTAATGCTTTCTATTCTTTCTACTACCTCCCAGACTGATATAAGGTATAGGATGAGGAGTATTCAATCTACAGCCCTGGTGTGTTACATTTCAGTATCTTCCTTTTATAGAGTTAGTAGCAAAAGTATCTTAACAGTGAAAACTGCCAGCTTTCCAATGGGATAGTAGTACATGGTTTGCTTCCAGCTCTGAATGAGTTCTATATATTATTTAAACTGTACTATCTTTGTTAAACATACTCAGGTGGACTGTTTATGTAAAATGGCGGTTCAGAAGTATAGTAGGGATCTGAAATGTTAGGAATACTCCCAATATAGGGAAAAAGCTTCCTAATCAACAGTGCTTATGTATGTGCTTAAGGCCACTTTAATTTTACCTTAAGCACATACATAAGTGCTTTCCTGAAAAGGGGTGGACTTAAGACACATGCATAAACCAAAGTGCTTTCTTTAGATTAGGGATTATGTGCAGTTGCCACCACAACAAAAAGGTACAAAGGTTTTATTAATATAATATATACCGCAGATGTGATGGTGACATCCACGCAAGCCACATTTATCTTGATGCTCTAAATTGAAATGCATTTCCTGGTATGAATGATACATCAATCAAGAATGGTAACTTTGAAAGGATCCCAACTTTTTGTCTCTGCCACTGTTAAGGTTCTGGAATTGCTGGAGTTAAATCTCTTTTTACTTTCCAGAACTAACTGTTGTGGCATATATGTCAATTCATTGTTTGGTATTGTGTTCCAGGTAATAGGAATATAGCTGCCAGGATTTGACAGCAAATGGATAACAGCAAGACTATGCTTTGGCTTTGTGGACCTTATTCTTGCAACAGTAGGCAACACCCTATCGTGTCCCAAAATTTAGTGGTGCTGAGCTGTATAGATACCTTTGAAATGACGGGTCTCTGAATTACGTTTGTGGCAGTATAGGTGTGATGGGTGAGGTGATTTTTACTACGGTAGTTGCAGAAATTGTGAGTTTAAAGAAACTCCCTCACTTTCATAATGTACCCTCTAACTCAATTAGAGAAAATGCATTGGATCATGAGACAACTAGAACAGTGAGGACACTGACCTAGGGATAGAGTTGGGGAATTACTTTACTGCCCCGCCTCCCTCACCTGGCCAGTATCCCCCCCCCCCGCATTGCCCAGCAATCTGCAAGGTGGTAAGCACCGTAATATGAAAATCAGTTTTTAAAATTTGGTGCCACTCAAATCACAATAATGAATTTACAGTACAGAAATGAAAAATGGTGGTGCCACTCAATTCACAAAAATGAAAAATGATTTATAGAGGGGTGCTTCCTGTCCAAAAAGGCTGAGAACCAATGAGATATGCACTCAGTAAGGTTGTTTGGCTGTTTTAAGGCATAATTAGTAGCTGTTTCAAGAATATTATTTGTTTTTCCTTGTGCCTCATATGAAATTTACTAAAAATCACTCTTCTGGAATTGTAGCTTTAAGGATACATGGTAGAGAGGACTTCAGAATTCAACAATCCAAAATTGTGGAAAATGCATTCCTACAGAAGGCATTTCATTTCGGAGCGCTTAGAACCTGACTTACAAAGAAGTTATGTAACTCTCTCCTGCTAGTTATCATAACCGTTGTCTTGTATTTTTGGAAAATTTTACCTTAGTCTCATCGGAAGGACTTGTACATAAATAAACCTATACATGAAGCCCATTCATAAGTCTGGTATCTTAAAATGAGGACATGATTCACTTTAAATAATTGTGGAAGATCTGGGTCACAGTACCATATTGGGAGACTGACAGCATATTTAGTATTGAAAGGAATCCAGCTTGGTCTGTGGGAACGTGGGACCAGCAGCACACCGCAGCCGGGCATTAAAAGAAGCATCCCCAGACTATTAAGCTCTTCTGTTCCATCTACCAAGCCCTCTCTGTTCCATTCCACCACCAAAAGTTGTAGCCCTTGACATCACTGTTGGCTATATGAATCGGTGGCAAGGTTAAGTACAGGTGCCTTAGGTACTCTTGGGGGTGGAAACTTGTTGCCTGTGCCAGGGGGCTGAGTTGCAGGCAGTGGCTCATAGTGACAAAAGGTTGCCAACCCCTACCCAAGATATTCTTAAAGGTTGCTTAGGTGACCAGATTCTCTTTTGTCAAAGCCAGGCTTTTATTGACAGTGAAAGTGCAAGTCATTGCAGGTTTAGGTGTTCATACCACAGAGACTGCCTGTGCTACTTCTGGCATGCTTGCTGCTGCTTGGCCACCCTTGGCCTAATACATTGAGTAGATTCTGAAGAGGTCAGTCTGTTTTCTGGTGTTCTCCATGGTGTGCTGTAGCAAGGAAATACTAATTCCAAAGTACTTCCAACATCACTAAACTACAGTAGTATTCAGTCTTTAATATCTCAGCCGTCACTGTTGGTTGTCTCTTTCTGTAAGTCTGGAGGGGAATCTGGTATATGTCTGTTCTCTTTGATAGTCAAACTCCTGGCTTAGCTTGGATAAATTATCTTTGAATTCAATATTCCCCTGTTGAGCAGGATAATTATACCTTGTAAACCTGTTATGGTTGATAATTGAATGCGTCTGATTGATTGAAAATACCTTGGATTTGTTCATGTTGAGGTGCACCTATTCTGGGGTCTCCAGGCATTTTTATGTGAATCTTTTGTAAATGATTCAGCATATGTCGTCTCCAGGAAAGCAGTGTCAAAATAGATACTGAATTTCATCTCTTTACTATAATGGACATTAATTTTATCATGTTTGCATCAAAGCGGGTTCCAAATGAGGTAAGTCTGCCCTGGCAGCCTACATCTTTCTGCACCTTTTACCACTCAGGAGACTGGTAAAAAGCAGCCATATGAAATCTTTACATACTTTCTAAGCACTGTTGTCTTGATTTCTTTTTTTTTTTTTTAGGTAACAGTTTCAGGAGTGACTTAGAACTGGTTGTTGAAAATCAGTGGGACTTAGGAGCATTAGGTTGCTCAGGGTTAGACAATTTTACCCTTACCCTCCAGATAACTTCTGACTTGTCTACCAGTTATAATCTCTTCCTAGGTCAGAGGTGTCTAGATTTTCTAGTTAAATTTGGAAATTACACTGGCTTCCACTGCTCACTGATTTTAAAAAATGTTTCTTTTTTTCCGTTGGATTAACAGAAAAGACCCAAAGAATCTGGAGATATATTTTATACCTTTACATAAAAACACAATGTTAATGTTTGCTGTAGAAATAAAGCATCTTTCCTGCACTTACTGTTGCCAGTTTTTGTTTTACTAAGACACCCTAAGAGCACCTTAGTTTCCAAAAGGTGAAGGTATGAAGAGCATCTCTCTGAGTAGAGAATTAGCAGATTTCCTCTACTCGCATGAGAATTGTCTAACTCTTTATGGCTTTCCTTCCTGCCCAAAACTGGTCATTGAAGCTCTGCAAGTTCCTTTTGTTTCATTGTGGGAATTGAAGTCAGAGCCTGTTTGCAGCAACAGCTTTCAAATTTTGAAAGTTCCCACCTAATTTCTCTGCTCTTAGTCTCGGGGATGTGTCATGTCACACATTTTACACTGTAAAGTATTCTAAACAACACTATGGCCTCAAAGCACTAAGTTATCTTGATTCCTAACTCCCATTACTTTTTATAGGAGTTAGGTGCCTAAGTAGTTGTGTGAATTTGTGTCTGTATAGGGTTTTTTTATTATTATTTAAAAAACCCCTCATGGACATCTTACAGTGGCTGCAGATAAGATAATGGTCCAATTTAGGAAGATTAGTCATAAACTAAAAAGAGGTCTGCAAGAAATGAATATCCTTCCTAAAATGACATACACTAATAATGAATGAATAAATGTACAATATTTACAGCTGTAAACTTTATAAATACATAATCTATCAACTGCACTGTTATTTGTGGTAGAATTTAGTCTAAATGGGGATTTAGACACCAATTTCCCAGGGTGTTTAGAGGTTTTTATTTATTTATTTATTTTTACCATTTAAAAAAAGAAAAGGAAAAAACAGATGGAATTCTTTTCAGAAACATTCTGATCCCTTTTGGTCCTCTTCAGGGGTCTCATAACTTACTTTATAGCCTCATCTTGTGATTCATATGTATGCATGATTTCCATTGAAGCTTGATGAGTTCTTCACTTGCTTTCAAGCACATAGACTAAAATAATCACAGTATTTTATCTTCAGGGTTTTTTTTTTAAATTAGAAAAGTTTATTTTCTGCCTACTTACCAAAGGAATGGCATGAATACTTTGACACCACAGCATACTTACGTATCTTAATAATTAGTGTCTTTTTAAATTTGTATGTAGAAAAACCTGAAAATTCAGTCTTTAAAAAGGAAAACTATAATATGTTGTATAAAATAGTAATATGCAAATATAATTTGAACATTTTAAAGGAATTTAAGATTGTAATTTCTGGTCATCATTTAAATATCAGGTTTTCTAAACGTACTGAGATTTTACACTCAAGTCTAATCTGAGAATACGGTTATGAGTTAGCAATCCACGAAAACAGACACATCTTTTATATAAAATGATTTGTTGGTTGGTAGAAATGGAAGTGTCAAATAGCTGTTGTTTTAAGAATGTGTATTTCTTTTTTAGTAAAATAAAATTGAAGCAAGTAAAACTTAGTCCACAGAAATTTTGTAATTTAAGAATGCCATGCCTTTATACATTTCAATATATATTTTTGAAAGAAATTGAAATTATAATAGCAAAATTTTCATAACCAGACATGTTTGATGCTTTGCTGCAAAAATTAAACTTTCAGTTTTTCCACATTTTAGATTAAATAAAATTATGAATCAGGTGGCCATTCAACGGAAGAAGCAGTTTGTTGAAAGAGTACACAGTTACTGGTTACTTAAAAGACTGTCTAGGAATGGAGTTCCTCTGTTGAGAAGGCTGCAGTCCAGCTTACAGTCACAAAGAAACACACAACAGGTATGTAGCACAATTCTTACTGAAAAGAAGGATTTATAGTTCTTTTAATTTAGTTCCATTTTATAAAGAGCAGAACAGTAAAAACAGACTAGGAAACCTATGTTTCAATATGGTATGATTTCCTTTTTAAAAATAATCTTAATGAAAATATCCTAGTAATACTAGCATGACTGTTATTTAGCCCCTGTAAACTTGTTTATTTTTTAAAGTCTCTTTTTGGATGTACTATTTTCTAGTGTGTGCTGTAGCAAGGCAATACTATTTCCAAAATACTTCCAACGTCCCTCATTAAAATAGTGTTCTGGCCTTAATATCTCAGCCGTCACTGTTGGATGACTTTTTTGTTACACAATTAAAACCCCAGGAAAACTCAAAGTGCATTTTTATTTGAAAAAGACATTAGAAGCAAATGGAGTAAAAATATAACATTGGCCAAATGGAAAGGAGAATGAAAAATTCTGGGAATATCCTGCAAACAAGGGAAAGGTTAAACAAATATGCTGGATTTCAAGGGCGTGCTTCTGCTGTTTTGTATCTGTGGTAGCAAAGATAACCACTTAACTCATTAATGGTCAAATTCACCTCTTTATAGACAACAACCTCTGTACTATTTCAGATCCATTTTAAGCCCCACTTTCATGTTTTACATAACATGTAAGTGAGGCATAGACTTATGCTGACCTGTACGAAAATGACTTTCAGTCTGATACACAACAGTTGGACAAACTAGAAAATCATATATATATTTAGAAAGCAAATGGAAATCAAAAGGGAAACATTACTAGTCATCACCCAGTTTTAGCATCCTAATTAGGCACAGGAAGATCTGATGCATTTTACTTTTTTTGAAACTGCTGCAAGTTTTAGCACAAGTACTCTATAAACATACTTTTAAGTAGCACTTTGGCACCTACTTATGTATAGTACAAAGTACTATGCATGATATTGATCCAAAGCCAAAAGGTTCATGATTTACTATATAAATCAGCACTGCTGAGTATATGTGTGTGTATTCCAGATCAAAGGATCAACATGCTAATTAGCCTTCCCTCATGACTTGAACCCATTGTTCATGAGTCCTGGGATCCTCCAAAAATTATATGCTTATAAGGCAGAGGGCAGCTTGATCTGACTACCTCATGGAGGATGGGGCCATACTAATCATACACAGCAGGCTGAGAGAGGGAGCAACAAAGGGATTCTGGGTGCACTGTTTGGTGATTTTTGCGAGACATTTAAGAGTGGTGAAGAAAATAGGAAACATTGGAAATGGGGGGGGAGAAAGGAACAGCTCAGCTCTGAGAGTGAAGAGGAAATCCAAATGTATACAGTGTAGTGGCTCAACATGATTTGAAAAAGAGTCAGTGCTGAGGGGGACTGCTATCAGTGGGCATTGCCATATATTTTGGATGGGTTGCACTAACCTATTCTTGTGATAGGTTCCCATCAGCATGTTTGCCCAGTATAGGCTATGTACTTTATAGGCATACTCAGTGTTGACTACATTTAATCAGCTTCATAGTTGGTTTCTGTTACTGACATGCTGCTTTTAGTAGCAGTTCAAAGCCAGACAGTGTATTTAATGCAGTTTCCTTGTATGCAAATATGAGATGAGGGGTTTTTCCTCCCATGCTAATTGGGTGGGGGTGGAGGGGGATGAAAGAGCCTTCCCCTGATTTCGGTAACTATGGTACTTTTGTATAAACTTATGCATTACTCAAATATTAGCCAGTTAAAAAAAATAATCGAGTACTTTTAAAATGAACATATCTGGAGCTGTCTAATATTGTGCAGGATGTACTTTTCCTTATTTAACGAGTATCTCCTAAATGTCAATGTATGCCCATTTTTAAACTTAATTTGTTCTTGAAACTAGCATAACTACAAATCACCCATTTGTTCTTGCAGGCCTAGGCAACAGATCAGTGAAGTTGTTACTGTATATATTATGCAGTGCTATTCCTCAAAGCATGGATACTTGTCAAAATTATGCACAGTCTTATGTAAATATGTATATGTTCAAATCAGTCAGATGGGTGATTTTTTTTTACAGTCTTCAGGCTCAAGATCTCTGAGTAATCTTTATATATGTTCTTGATATAAAAAAATCTGAAAAAAAAAAGATGGGGTTTTCTCCCTTGTTACAAGTAACTTCAATTTTAGGTGTAACCAATACAATAATATAGATATCAGTGTTGTAATTTCAAGATTTGTTTTTGACTTAAATTGAAAATTACTGCCAAAAGAAAGAATCCTAATTGGAAAATGCGAACTTGGTTGGTAGTAGTTGATGATTATATATAGGCTTTGAAATCAAATAGAAAGACTGAAGCTTTATTTTGTACCTTATTCCTTTAAACTCAAAAAGAATCCCATGAACAGCTTTGGTTACCCTTTTTTCTTCACTTATAAGCTTGGAGGAGAATTTGCAAATATAAAACTGTTTTTCCTGTTATTTAAGAGCTTGTCTATACTTGAAAATTAATGTGGGTTAAAGTAGGGTGTAAGTTTGAAGTGCAGTAGCAAGTCCTGAATTCAGAAATAATTGCTATTTATTTAGAATTAAACATTACCCACCTTTAAAGTTGGTAATTTTTTTTTTTTGAAGATAAGATGCCACACTGTTTTTAGCAGTTAGACCCCAAATGGTTGTCAAACTTCCTCAAGTCACAAAACCCTTTCATATCACTTTTTCTGCCACAGAACCCCTAGCCTTGGCTCCATGGTCTGTGTCAGCTGACACAGAGCCAGGTGACCTGGCCGGCAATGGTAGCATACTGCCTCCCAGCCCGCTCTGCCATTATCCCGTATCTCTTTGCAGAAACCTTGATGATTTATCACAGAACCCCAGGGTTCCACAGAACAGTCTGAAAAACACTGAGACAAAGCCGCTTACTTCTGATTACTCCTGAGGTTCAGGAGTCAGCGTTAGGGCTGAGATCTAGGGAGCTGGCATTACTTCTTTGTTCACACTCTAAATAAGCTTGTTTCTTGTAATGCAGGAATAAGGGAAAGTCAAACAAAATTTAATGGCACCAAATTAGAAAATGAAAAAGGAAGAGATACTTTTTAAAAACAGCATAATTAACCTTTGAAAAGTTGCTTGAATTAGATACTTTGCATAAATCTGATATCTTTTATTAGACCAACTCAAATATCTAATAAAAATACCAGATTTACCCAAAGAACCTTGTCTGCCAATGTCCTTAGACCAACATGGCTACATCCTGTATCCTTGCATAAGATACTGTTCTTATGGGCTCAGTAGAATTCAGAAAAGTGTCTTGGTGTAAAGAGATGTCTCATTTCCTGAGAGCGTTTTTTCCTGGGATCATACAGATCAGTCTGCTGTGCAGTTTTACGTACCTGTGAAGTATGCAAAATAAAATATGTTCACTCTCCCCATCCCCACAATACTGCTAGTTAGTCATGGCTCCTTCAAGTTATTTGCCAGTCATTTTAGGCACTCATTTGTCAGATGTTGTGCTCTCCTGTGCCACCTACTGGCAGAGGAGCAGCATTGCAGCTTGGAAGGGATGAATGTGTAAAGGGCTGTGCCATTTTTCTTTTTGTCCTGGGTTTTGACTTGGATCAGTTGAGACATGAACGAGGCCTTCTCTACAGCCTGAATGAGACCGTTCATTACATATGATGTGATATAAGTTTTCTGTGTTTTGTTTTTAAGAAGAAATAATGTCAGCCAAAAGCCTGGCAAATGTTACCAACATACTTCTCTTATTCTCTAACGGACACTTCTCAGGTTTCTTGCACTTCCTTCTGAATTATTGCCTCTGGGAGAATTGATGGTATGGCAGTTTCCGTGTTTACATCAGAGAGGGTGATTACCAAGTTAAAGGCTTTCATGTGGTTTTACAACTTAATTAAAGCATAATTATATCACATCACCTTTACGGACTTAAAGTACATCTGTGTTGTAACCACTTTCTCTGATTTATCTGGGTTTTTTGTTTTGTTTTCTTTTGTTCTGTATTCTAATGCTTTTTCTAGATTCTGATATATATTATCTATGTATCTAGGCAACCTTCTGTAAAAACAAAAAATATATGAAGAGCAGTGCCTTTTGTGATTCACAAATGCTGCAGCTGCAGAATTGGTTGCCTTAATATACCTCTTGTAGCGGAATATAACTGCTAAATCTGATCTAATTTTTCCTTTATTTTTTCCCTAATATTTATAAATGTATATTTGCAGAGATTGTTTCACATTTAAATTGAAAACAGCCTGAAGCAATCATAATGATCAGGTTCAGGTTGATGAATCCGTGTCAGTTTAAATTTTAATTTTGAAACCTAATTAGAGACAAATGAAATAGCAACTTTAACTATTTCAGCAGTGAACATATTTCTATAATCAACATGCAGTTACTGAGTTAATTCAGAACAATGAGATATAGAGGCAGACATTTACTGTTTTTTATATTGGCCTACTTGGGTACTTGACTGTCATACACTGAATAGGGGAACAAATATATTAGACCTCTCTGCATTACAGAAGTTGCCTCCAGACTAACTGCAAGAAAATAAAAAGGAGATTTATCTCCTTGTCTCTGCTAAAGCTTCAGCAGCTTCTGGATGCATAAATCCCAAAATATTCCTCTGCCTTCCCTTATTGTCAAAATGTAGCTGCCAACGTATTTCCTCATGCTGAGTAAATTATTTTTTATGATAGTTCAGAAATTTGAGAAAGTTAAATGAAAAACTTCAAAATTGGAGGTTTGATTTTTAAATTACATTCTGTAATTCACAACAGAATATTGGGTACATCGCTCATTTTGAAACTTAACAAATTTTACATCTGTCCTCTCCCCTGCTTTTAAATTCACTCCAAGTTGCGACATTATCAATGTGTTGCAGAAATCAGGAAACCCCAGGTCAGATTTTTTGGTCTAGTATGACAGAATGTACAAAACCCAGGGTAAAAGCATATGAACTGGTTTTTTGATTTCATGAAAACTTCTTATCTTATGAAGTAGATAACTG